CTCCCCCTACACTTCAACCTTCCCCCCCACCTTTTTGCTTTCCTCCAGGACCGTCAGCGCTCGGCGCTACGTCTGGGAACCTCGTGGGCCAGGAAAACTGCGCATGTGGAGTTCAATCAGTGGTGAGAAGGGGAGGAGGGTAGCGGAGGCGGCCTCCAGGGGTGGAGCTGAGGGCGGAGGAGGAGTTCCGCGAGGGGCGGGGCGGGGACCTTTGTGCCAGAGCCCGGGGAACTCCTCCATGCCCGCGAGGGACTCCGGAGTTTTCCTTCTGGGGCTTCAAGAAAAGAGCTCTCTTTCTGGGGCTGGGCGACCTGGGAGAAGTTTGGGCAGAAACTAACGAGTCTCCCCAGTTGGGCCCCGCAGCACCCCTCCCCTGTCCCTGCCCACAGGGTGGGAGCGGCGGCCCACACCTCTTCCTGGGCCATCCTGGAAGGCTGCGGGGCTGGGGGCGGGGGCGAGGGCCCCCACAGGCGCGGGGATGTTTGGGGGAAGGACGGTGGCCCGGGTCAGCCCCATCTCGCCAGCGTCAGCCTCCCGGACAAACACCCTCTATAGTATAGAGTCTCTACCCTGGGTTTTCGGGGTCTTAGCCCGCCACCTCCCTTCTCCTTGCACTTCTGCCATTTCTCTGTTGTGCAGGCCCTTCGCCCTGCGGTCTCTGTACCCCACAGGGGGAGGGGTACCCCCCAGACTTCCCCGCCCAGGCTGAGCTACAGAAGCTCCCCACCTTCTCAGGTCGGGCCTGGCCCAAGTCAGTGCTCTGCTGGGTCACAGATTCGGGCTGCAGCCCTGGCGGGGCCCGTTTGTTCAGAGCTATGGGCCCATTTCGGGACTTTGACCCCCCGCGGCCTCCGCCTACAGTCAGGTTCTCGGGCACCGTTTCCGGTGTGGGGCCAGTCAGGCCTGCAGGAGGCGAGCCTGGAGCCGGCTGTTCGCCTCCTGCCCGCCGGGCCTGTCTCCTGCAGGCCTGGGAATGGGGATCCCCACCGGCCGGGTGTGCAGTGCAAGTGGACTGGGAGTCTAATAATAACCCCTGTGGCTTCCCGGCCCTGCCAGAACCCGGAGAATCTGGACCCTCCCGGCCTGGCTCCCTTCCCTCCTAATCTGCGCTTGCCCCGCCCTCTCCGAGAGCCCCGCCCCTGAAAGTCAGAGTCCCTGAGAACGCCTCTGCCTGGGGCAGCTCTGGGGGATCCCCCATCCCCACTGAACGCACGGGGAGAGGCGGCTATGATTTCAGGGACAGCTGTGTTGCGCTGTGTATTTGTCCCAAACCCTGTGTCCCACATCCTGCACCTGGGACCTCCCACCACAGCTTTCTCCTCCCGGCCAGGCTGGAGGAGATCTAAACTCCTCTCTGGATCGAGCAGCCCCGGGGCGGGATGGTGGGCACTCCCTCACCCGCAGGCTCCCAGGGACAGCACCTGTGTGTCCAGCAGCCCTGACTAGCACGGCCGGAGCCTGCCCCACCCCCTCAGTCCCATGGAGAGGTGGCGTCTGACCAGAAGGCCCCACTCACAGCCCTGCCCCTCTCCTCCCAGGGTTTGGACCTGGCACACTGTGCTGGGTGTCAAGTGACTCCAGAGGGCATCTCCTTCCCCTGGGCCCTGCTCCTGGAGGCCGGACACACGGCCCCACCCCCGTGCTCCTTGTCCCAGTCCGGCCTCCTGAGGACACTGAGTGGGAGATGAGTGGGATGAGCTCGGCCAGGGTGGGCAGTGGCTCTGGCTGTCATTGAAGGTGGGTCCCATGTGGTAAGTTCTGTTGTCGGACCACTGTCTCCCCCAGAGATCCCCTTTCTCCTGAGAGGCAGTCACAGCCAGAGTCAGGCAGCAGGCGGCTAGCACCCTGGATTGGGCACCTTCTGCCGCCACTCATCTCGGCGCTCAGCAAACCTGATCCGAAACAAGCTCTCTGCCAGCCTCGGGTGGCGTGATGACCAAGGCAGCCAGGGCCGGGGCTGGGGCTCCGCCGTGCAGCTGTCCGGGTTGGAGTCCCAGTTCTGTCGCTTACTGTGTGACCTGTATCTCTCTGAGCCTCGCTTGTCTCACCTGCACGTATTAGGCCAGATGTCCCATGCAACATGCTTAGTACATAGAGGGTCCCATAGCACATAGTAGGACCCCAGACACTGGTGAGCTAATGTACTGAAATGCACTGATGTCTTAGGCTCCACAGTGCTGTGCAATGCTCACTGCTGCTACAGTCACCGTGTGGGCGCCAGGAGCGCTTCCTGTCCCCTCTCCTGCATCAGCAGACCAGTGCTTTCGGGACGCGCATGAAGAAGCAGCGGTGCTTGTAACTGTATATTCGGGACCTGCATGAAGCAGCAGTGATATTTTTGTGCTTCGGCATGTACTTTCCTGTCTTAACTTTGGGTGCTTCTGCTTATAGACTCCCCAGAGGGTGCCAATGTGTGGGCCCAGGCCAGGGGAGGGGGCAGAGTGGCGGCTAGACCCAGAATGACAGGCTCACCCCACTAATCCCCTCTCCGACGTGGGGGCAGGTCTCAGGGGGAGAGGCCAGGCAGGGAGCCAGGAAGGGTTTGGGCGAGCCAAGGTTGGGATGAGGAAGCACCATTCATCCAGCCTAAAGGTTGAGTCATGGTCATCGGACAATCACGCTACACCCCCACCACCCCCACTGCGCCCCGGGAGAGGGTGGGAGGGCAGGCTGGGGGGTGCTTAACCCTTCCCAACCCGTGGGCTCCAGCTGCCCCGGCTTCCCCGCTAGGCTGGCTCACTCTGTCTCCTATGGTCTGCGGGTGAAGGGGCTCAGGCTGTTACCCAGCCCCCTGAGTGCAGAAGCCCCTGGGGGTCCAGTCCTAGCCTCAGGATTCCCAGAATGCAAGTGGGTCACTGCTGCCCCCAGCTTGGGGCCTGGATTTCTGCTCTGGGTTTCTCAAACCAGAACTCACCAAAGTCACTTAAATGAGGAGAGGCTGGGACCGAGGGGCTGTGGGCAAGGTGTTGGGGTGGGAGGGGCGGTGGTGGCTGCAGGGCGGGTGACATGGGAAATTGTCCTGTCCAGGCTGTCAGAGCAGGACGGTGTGTGAGCCGAGCTCCTGGCTCCCTCTGGGCCGCTTTCCCCCTCTTCCATCCTCCCTCACCCCGTGCACATGGGGACCTGCCGGCTGCTCAGAAACAGGACTATCATGCCTGTGAGAGGCCGGCAGGGACATGGAGGTGGGGAGGTGGCTGTGGGAACCGTCCTGCTGGTTAGCCCTCCACTTCCCTCCTCCTCCTCCTCCGGCACCTTCCTCCTTTCCTCTTCCCTTCCCACCACCTCCTTCTCTCCTAACCCTCTGCCCCATCCCCCCTGTCCTCCCAGCCCAGAAGTAAACCACTAACAATGCCCACCCTCCGAGTTTGGGCTTCCCAGCACGGCCTTCCCGCCCCCCCCCCCCCCTCCTGCCCTGGACTGACTGCATTATCTGTGACCTCATTGAGGCCAGATGCCCAGCTCAGAGAGGCCCCCAGCCCAGGCCTACAGCCCCAGCCTCTGATTTTCAGAATTATCTCCCCCTTGGACCTGAAGGGTCCCGGCATCTCCCCCACCCTGCTGATTGCCGCCACCAGCATGGGGTCCCCGAAACAGACTCTGGTCCCGATAGCTCAGACTGGAGCCATGGGGGTTCTGGACCAAGACCCACTGGGGGGCACATGGGAAGCTGGGTGAGGCTATCCCCTCAGGAGCCTGACTGACAGCCAGGTCCAGCGCTGGCTGGCAGCCACCAATCCTGGTGCCATCTGGCGCCCATCTGGCTGCATCAAGAGATCAGAGGGCATGGAGTGGGCACAGGCCTCCTGGCAGACAGCAGCTCCCTTTACGGGACCCTGACTAGGCCTGAGTCAGCACCTCCTACCCCTTCAGAATTCTAGGCTTTGCTGCCACCATTGACACTGGGGTCGCTGTCCCATTCAGGACACGGTGAGAGGGACCCCATGGGGTACATCCTGACCTCCCCTCCCCTAACACAGTGCTGGCTCCTGGCTTCTCTGGATGGACCCGACACCTAGGACAAGGCTCGGAGCAAGCAGATCTGCCAGGCCATCCCTTCCTGGGCCTGGCCCCGGTCCCACTGAGCCCCTGAGATGTGCCTCTCCCTGCCTGTCTCCCTCAGTCACTTGTCACCCTCAGCCCTCCCTGCCAGCAGATGCCTCCTGCCTTGTGGGGTTCTGAGCATCTCATCGGGCAGGGCCTCATCCGTGTCCCTCCAGGCGTGTCAGCCACACACCCGGGGCTGGCCTGCCGCTTCCCCCCATCACACACCTCCCCTCAGCGGGTCCTCCCCGACCCCCCCAGCACCCGTGTCTGGAGGAGGGTGGCCAATGCACTACTGGGCCTGGTTCCTACACCCACAGCCCTGTGGGCGCTCCAGGCCCGAACGCAGGGCTCTTCCCAGACCTGCAGTAGGACCAGCGCTGACTCCACGGCTCTCCCTCTGCAGTCGCTGCTGTTCCTGGGGCTGGTGGCCGCCGTCTGCCTGGGCCTGAACCTCCTCTTCCTCTCGGCTTACCTGGTGTGCGCGTGCTGCTGCAGACAGGCCAAGCAGCGCAAGTCCTGCTGCGTCACCTGGTCGGCCGTGGTGGCCGGGCTCGTCTGCTGGTGAGTGTCCCTCCGCACTGGCCTCATGTGTGCGGCTCGGGGCTCAGTGTGCAAGAGGGCGAGGGGGCGCGGTGGATGGGAAGTGGGCCTGCCCACCGCGTCTTGCCCATGGTTAGCCCATGACTGACACCCCTTCCTCACTCTCCACCATCAGCCCCCCAACAAACCCCAAGCGGCGGGTTCATCAGCTTTCTGGCCACGTCCTCCTGATGGAGCTCTGGGTACCTCATGGGGAGCCTGTCCCTGGGTGAGCGTTGTCCCAGAGAGGTGATGGGGCCTCCGCTGTGCCGCTCCCCCTGCCCGGCTGTGACCTGCCCAGCAGTTTATTGGGTGGCACACGCGAGCAGAGGGCACCTGCTCTCCGAGTCCCTGTCCCCTCCCAGCTGCTGCCTTGAGTCTCAGGTTAGAGAAAGTCTGACTCCAGCCCAGATCAGTCCATCTTCTCGCAGGATCAGTATCTCTTAGTGCCCCAAAGACTCTTCTTTCGGATGCAGAAGTGAGGGTTTCTAACTTCAGACCGGAGCCCGGGCTGCCCGCTGTGTCTACGCGCTCCCCTGTGTGGCTGGTTGCGTTACTCTTGTTCTCAATCTCCAGGGGTTTTTCCAAAAGCCTCAGGTCTACTCTGAGACCTCCTGGGTGGCCACCCTCAGGGGACAGAGTCCTGTAATGCTTAGTGTCCACTGCATCCCAGAACCCATAGCGGAGTGATTCCGGCAGGAGGGAATGCAGACGGGACACCGTGAGCCTGGGAGTGAGGATGTGGGTTCTCACCCCAGGAGCCTCACCTGTTAGGGCACGTTCAGTGTCCAGTCCTGCCTGCAGCGACGCAGGGGTGACAAAGCGCTGAGCACATGGGCGGGGCCTGGGCTGGGGGACACAGGCGGCCAGGGCCCAAGTCCTAGGCGTAAAGGAGAGTCCAAGCCCAGGTCAGGAGTCTGCAGGCGCCTGGGGGTCCCCGCAGAGAGGAGCTCCTTCAAAGTAACCATGGCTTCGGCAAGCTGCTCCTGGGACGGAGCCCGCAAACGTGAGCAGGAGAGGCAGGATGTGAGACAGACAGACAGACAAAGGAAGTGCTGACGCACAGGGGGCCCTGACTTTTTAAAAACACGACAAAGGACAGAAGAACACTGTGGAACAGTAAGAATGACTCCTGAGGGTCAGATCTCATAACCTGCCGCTGAAGGGAAACTGCGCAGGAGCGTGCAGTGCGCTTGGCGTGTTCTACACGGCATTTGTGCCGGGCCAGAGGGAGCCAGTGGTGAGAAAGATGGCACTGTACCGGGAAGGGCCCAGCCCAGCCCACACTGACCACACTGACACATGGGGCGCCACGGCGGGCACCCTGACCTGCACTTTTTAAAAATATATATATATTTGTTGATTTCAGAGAGGAAGAGAGAGGGAGAGAGATAGAAACATCACTGATGAGAGAGAATCATTGACTGGCTGCCTCCTGCACGCCCCCCACTGGGAGCCTGCAACCCAGGCATGTGCCCTTGTCCGGATTCTAACCTGGGACCCTTCAGTCCCCAGGCCTACTCTCTATCCACTGAGCCAAACCGGCCAGGGCCTGACCTGCACTTTCAATGGGAACACTGAGCTAGGGTCAAGGCACCTGGAAGGTTCCTGTCACAGTCTCCCAGGGTTCCGTCCTAGCTCCTGTCATGTGTGAAGAAAGAGGAAACATCACGCACGTATGCATGTGTGTGTTCGTCACCCCACCCCCAGGATTACTGTTTTGAATGAAAACTCAGGAGGCTGCTTAATGAGGCTGCTCACGGCCCCCAGGGGTGTGGGTGAGAAAAATGCCGTCGGTGACAGAGGCGGGATCTGAGATGATTTGTTCCGCCTGGAATGCTGGACCAAAACCAACCACATGAAATTTCACAGAGATAGAGTCAAAGCTCTACTATTGGTTAAAACAAAACAAACACCCATTCAGCGCTGCGGAAGGAGGGGGGCTGGGCTTCAGGGCAGATCCTGTGGAGAAATCCGGGTGCTTGTGGAGCACCAGGTCAGCGGTGCGGAGAGGGGATCTGAGGACATGAGCTTCCTCTCTGCCTGCCCCCCGTCCCGTGCTCAGAGCTGGGTGGACAGCCTGGGCACCTCACTCAGGCCATGTTTGGGGGCAACACTGACCAGTTAGAGTGGAGCCTAGAGGACGGTGAGGATGTAGACCAGGGGTCCTCAAACTTTTTAAACAGGGGGCCAGTTCTCTGTCCCTCAGACCGTTGGAGGGCCGGACTATAGTTTAAAACAGGGGTCCTCAAACTTTTTAAACGGGGCCAGTTCACTGTCCCTCAGACCGTTGGAGGGCTGGACTATATTTTTTAAAAAAACTATGAACAAATTCCTATGCACACTGCACATATCTTATTTTGAAGTAAAAAAACAAAACGGGAACAAATACAATATTTGTAGCAACACTGACCAGTTAGGCCGTAGTTTGAGGACCCCTGATGTAGACAAGGGTCTGCAGGACACGGGTCTGGCCTTAGGTGTCTGACGGGTTGTCTGCAGGATTGGAGGCTTATTCCGGTCCGACCTAGAGGACCCCGAGAACCAGCGGGGGCCTGGTTCAAGGAGGGGGGCTTGGGCTCAGTATAAGAAGGGACTTTCTACAGCTGGAGTCACAGGGCCAGAGCAGGAGGATTTTCCTGCTGCCTCACTGCCCTGTGCTGTGGAGCGAGGCCACCAGGCCAGGGCCCACCCTGGAGAGAGTGCCTCAGCTGAAGTCAAAACCCACTTCTCTCCCTGGAGAGACCAGCTCTGTTCATAACCAGCAGACCTGGAGCAACCAAGACTTCCTTCAGTAGGTGATGGGTAGATAAGCTGTGGTCCATCCAGACCATGGGATAGTACTCAGCGCCAACAGGACATGAGCCACCCAGCCGGTGTGCCTCAGTGGTTGAGTATCGACCTATGAACCAGGAAGTCACGGTTCCATTCCCAGTCGGCACGTGGGTTGTGGGCTGGATCCCCAGTGTGGGGCGTGCAGGAGGCAGCTGGTCAATGATTCTCATCATTGATGTTTCTAACTCCCTCTCACTTCCTCTCTGAAATCAATAAAAATATATTTAAAAAGAAAAGAGAAATGAGCCATCAAGCCATGAAAAGCCACAGAGGAATGTAAATGCATGCTGGTAAGTGAAGGAAGCGGATCCGAAGAGGCTACGTGCTGTATGGTTCCCACTACATGACATTCTGGAAAAGGCGAAACTCTGGAGACAGTAAAATATCAGGGGTTGGGGGTTGGGGGATGAACAGATTGAACAGAGGATTTCTAGGGCAAGGAAAATGCTCTGTGATACTTAATGGAGGACGCATGTCATTATGCGCTTGTCTAAACCCGTAGCATGTTCCACCCCGAGTGAACCTAATGCACATATAGACTTTGGGTGATACGATGTGTCGATGTAGGATCAGCAGTTATAACCAATGTCCCGCTCTGGTGGGGGCTGTTAACTGTTGACAGTAGGGGAATCTTGGTGGGGAGGGTGGGGTGAGGGAGGCAGGAGGTATATGTGTAGTCGCTGAACTTTCCATTCAGTTTTGCTATGAACCTAAACTACTCTAAAACAGTACATTAAAGAAGTTCTCTGGTGCCACCTCTAACTTCATCTGGGGTCTTGCCCATAGTGCTGCGGTGGGCGTTGGTTTCTATGGAAACAGCGAGACCAACGATGGGGTGTACCAGCTGATCTACTCCTTGGACAACGCGAACCACACCTTCTCCGGGATCGATGCGCTGGTAAGGCTCTGGGCAGCTGGCCGGGCCGGGCCGGGCACAGCGGGTGAGGTCAGTGTGGTCAGAACAAGGGCCCAGTCAGATCCCGCCCGCTCGGCCCGGGGGGAGGAAGGCGTGCTGGACTCCATTTGGGGCTGCAGTGGGTCCTGCCAGGAGCAAACAGGCAACTTCTGCTTACCGGGCGGGAGGGGTGCCAGGGCTGTGAGGCCAAAGGAAGAAGGCTGCTGGGCCCTGCGGGGGCGAGAGGACAGGGTGGGGTCAGATCCCACTCATCTTCAGGAGAGCTGGACAGCTTCCCACTGGGCCAGGGAGGCCCTGAACTTGGAAAATGAGCCCCACGGTGTTCCTGTGTTTACATATGGAATATCATGAGGTCCAGGAGGTGTCAAGGGGAAAACTCTTCAAAAGCAGCCAACCATGAAAGGCATGCCCGGCGGGGCGGTGAGCTGCCCGGAGCGGCACGGTGTCCTCCGGCTCTGGCTCCCGAGCGCCGTGGGCCCAGCTGGGGCTCAGGGTGACGGATTGTGCTGAGGTGGCCAGAGATGTCAGACTTTAGGGAACAAAGGAGCTGCTCTGCTGAGCCTTTGGCCTGAGAGACAGCGACGGGAGGGTGGGGCGTCCGGGTTTCTCAAATGTAGACCCTGGCCCCCAAGAGTGCCCATCTTCACTGGCAGGGCCGGGTCACGTGGGCTGATCTTTCAGGCCGCCCCACGGCAGCCCCAGTGCCCGAGGAGGCAGGCTCCAGGGCAGTTCTCAGGGAAACCAGTCCTCGGACGTCACGCCGTTCCAGGCCCCTCTGGCCCAGTGGAGGGTGACCTCCCAGGTGGCCCATTCGTGTCAGAGCCTCACCAGGAAAGGCGGCCCCAGCTGCAGCCTGGAACATTGTCCTGGGCTCCGCAAGAAGATGCTGAGGAGGACGCACCTCCGTGCCCTCCTTCTCCCTTAAGCTCCTCTACGGCCTTAATCCCTCCGTCCTTCCAGGGGCTCGCCTTAAAGAGACAGCTGGGCTGCTCATCAGCGCCCCGTATGGCAGGGGCCGTGGCTCCGGCCTCAGAGAACTTTCTGGGGAGCTGAGGGTCACCAGGACCCAGCTCCCCTGCAGAGCCTGTCCGTGCACACCTGTGCCCACTGGGCCCGTCCCCGGGGACTGCGGGCTCTGAGCACTGGTTTGGCAGCTCGGGGTGAGGGAGAAGCACTGGCTGGGGCAGCGGGGCAGCCTCGAGGCTGATGGAGCGTGACCTGCACGAGGAGGCCTGGCCTGGGCACGACCCGGTGCAGGGAGCTGACCTCTGCCTGGGGGTCCATGGTCTCTGCCTCTGGGTTCTTCCTCCCCCCCGCTCCACACACCAGCATCCGGAGCCTGGAGGAGGAACCCAGCCCCGAAAGGAGAGTCCCACCCAGGGAAGGCCCGGAGCGGTGACCTTCACTAGCTGATGGTAACGGTACTGAATGGCCCTTGTCTCCCGGGGCCAGGGGGGGGGGGGGGGGTGGAGGAAAGGAGAAAGTCCCAGAGCCGTCGTCGCTTGAATTCTGTCCTGGTCTCTCGGGAGGAGAGTGGTGCTGTGGGAATGAGCGGAACAGACCCAGGCCGGGCCCACCTGCCCAGCGAGGTTGAGTGCTGGGGGCAGGTTGGCACATTCACAGCAGCCCCACGTCCCTAAACTCCCCCACGGCCCCAAGGGGAGCCTTCTGTGTGTCCCTGGGGGTCAGCCCCTCATCCTCGCTCCACCGTTCCTCAACAGTGAGGACAGGAACCCCAGGCTTTGTGGCCCAGCCAGCGGAGCTGCTTCCATCCTGAGGACAGCCCCCTCCTGCCTCTGAGAGACCAGAGCTCTCCTGGGCCAGGCTCCGGGCCTGCAGGGCTTCGGGCCTTGAAGGAGGGGTGGCACCCAACACTCCTGGTACCGAGGGCTCCAGGGGAGGCAGCAGGTCTCCGAGGGCTCCCAGATCCAAGGGGTGAAGGCCACACATCAGATAGGTGGTGTTAGCTGAGATGCTGTCGGAGAAAGTGCCTGGTAATCTACAGAGCGCCCTCCAGATCGGGGTGCCTACGATAATGAGTGCCATTATTATAACTGCTGTAATTATGTATATTACTGTAATCACCTTAAAGGGGAGAGGAGGCTTCAACTGGGGGAGGGGAGGACTTGAGGAACAGGTCAAGTGACTCAGAACGGAGCCAGAGCGAGGTGGGCCCTCCCGGGCTCCCTTTCCTGGGCCCCCTTTCCTGGGCCAGAGCCCCACGCTGGTGCCTCTGAGGGAGGGAGTTGGCGGGAAGGAGTCGGGAGGGGCCGAGGCTCCAGGCTCAGGCTGGCCTAGCAGGTTCTGGATCAGCTAACGCTCTGATGTGGGGGGGTCATCCAGGGTCATTTGGGAGTGCCGGTGGGTCCTTCCTCTGGATCCAGTGCCCCCATCTGTGCCCCAGTGAAGGGGGCCTAGGGTCAAGTTACCCAGGGGACCAGGCCCACCTCCTACCCCTCAGAGGCTCAGCTTCAAGTAAGGGCCTTGGGCTCTACCTCCCCTGAGGCCCTTTGGGGCCAGGGTGCTTCCTCTGCTCTCACCTGGGCTGCAGCAGCCTGTGGGCAGCCCCAGGTGGGGGAAACTGGGCCCAGGGTGGCCGCATTCCTGTCCCAGGTTGGAAGCTAGCACTTTCAGAGCAAGAACTAGAACCCCTGTGTCTGGTCCTCACCCTCCCCTCCGAGGATCTGAGATGGGGCTCCTCCCCCGAACCTGCCGAGGCTCCACCCCTTGGACTCCTAGGGTCTGCCCTTCCAGAAAGCTCTTTAAGGAGAGAAGCTTCCCCCTGGGGAGCTGGATAGCCTGGAGCGCTGGCCCCACCCGTTTAGTTTCTGTAGGTCTGGGTGGGGCTGAGCATTTGCGATTCTAATGAGTTCCCAGCTGCTCACCCTGTGGCTGCTGCTGCTGCTCTGGGACCACTGCTCCATCCTATATCCTATGGGACCACAGCTCCATCCTATATCCTATGGGACCATAGCTTCCACCACCTGCTAACTGGCCTGTAACCCTGCCCCAACCTGGGGCGCTGAGCTGCCTCTGCCCCCTCGGTGGCCACGGGGAGCTATTCAACTCTGGAGTATCCCCCACCCCCACCCCCACCCCCGCCTCCCTGCTGGGAGCTCTATATGGACTTCTAAGGAACTGGGGTGGCGTGGAGAAGGGGTGCTGCGGAAGGTCGGCACTGTGGTCTTTATTTTTGCATTGTTCTGTTTCCTACGAGAAGACAAGAGGAAGGAGAGGGCTGGCAGCTAGGTCCTGGCTTTTGTCTTTTTCGAGGAGGGGTTTAAGAAAATAGAGAAGTTAAAAACATGGAGCTGTGGCAGGGGGAGAAATGGCCTCAGCTGAAGTTTACAGATCATTGTCACAGCCCTTTGCTGTCACGTCTGTAATGCAGGAACGTGAGAATACCACGTAGTTCACGGTTTGCGTCTCCCGCTGCATTTAATAACGTGCCTACGATGCACGAGTACGTTGATCTTATCGAATTAAAAAGGACAGCTTTTCGGGGTGACATTTAGTTACTGTGTTTACTTCCACGTGGTTTTCGCCCCGTGTGAGGCTAAACGCCGCCAAAGCCCTGAGGGGTGGGCATCTCTGCACTCCGCACGCCTAATCCTCAGCCAGCGTGTGATAACCGGGAGCTATCGGGGAGCCAACCAGCCGCGGACATTGAAAAACAAAACAAAACGAAACAAAGAGGGCCTTTCTCCTTTCTGGAACAGGAACTCAGAGCACAGAGCCGTGCAGATGTGAAGGCCGCCCCCCTAATCAGGGGAGTCATCTGCCTCCCCTGCTGCGCTCCGGCTGTGGGAAGCGCCTGCCCCTTCTTCTGGGTCATCTTTAGCTTCCTTCCAGGCCTGGGTTTCACACACTCCCGCTTCCAGCCGTAGTGCTGGTTGGGTTAGTGTGACGATCTCAGAACAGCCCAGTTCTGCTTCCCCTCACGGCCAGCACCCCCCCCCCGCCCCCCCCAGCAGGCCTGCAGGAAGGGAGGGATGCGCTCAGGGCTCCCAGGCTGTGTCCCTGGGTCCCACGGGGACCCTATGAGTTCCTTATCATCAAGCCATAGACAGTCCCTACCATTGTCCCTCCCTCTGGACCTTCAAATAGCAAGCTGCTTCCTTCAGGGTCCGCTCAGCTCCGGGTTCTGGCGGCTCAGCCAGGGGCCTGGAGCCTGTCCGACCACCTGCAGGACAGACGTGCAGACAGAGGAGGCGCTGGTTTCCTCCGTCAGGTGTCAGGAGGCAGGATGGGGTCTGTTAGTGCAAAGCTCCATTGTCTGCCTTCGGGGCTGGGAGCCCGATGGCTGGACAACGGGCCTCCCACGGAGGCCTTTCCATCCTGTTGGGACGAACGGTCAGGCGGCAACAGGAACTCTGGGCTCAAAGAGATGATTCCTCGCCCTCAGAAAGAATTCGTAATCCAATGTGTTGAGAGTTTTAAGAGAATCACAGGAAGAAACAGGTTTTCGTTTGTTTCCCCGCCTGGGTCTCTCTTCAGAGGAAGGTGCTGGATCGAGGCCTGGGTCCTGGTCAGGCCAGTCGGGGCCTGTCCCCTGGAGGGAGGGACCAGAGGGCTGGGCAGGTAATGGGAGCCTCTGTCTTCCGTCTGAGCAGCAGCCTCCTGAGCCCTGCAGGGCTGGGGACGGGAGGGCTGGGGTGGGCGTGTGTGCGAGGTGCGCTCACTGACTTAAGCACAGTCCTCCGCTCCTCACAGCACTGCTCCGGAGTCAGGGTCCAGCGCTACACCCTCTGGCTTCCTCCTGCCCCGGGGCCAGATTCCCACCCCAGCCTCTCCCCAGGTGTCCGGAACCACCCAGAAGATGGAGGCGGACCTAGAGCGGCACCTGGCCCGGCTCAGCGAGATCTTCGCCGCCCGGAGCGATTACCTCCAGACCCTGAAGTTCATGCAGCAGAGGGCGGACAGCGTCATCGACCAGCTGTCAGGGGTGCCTGTGTGGACGGAGGTCACAGCCCAGCTGACCCAGCTGGCCGACCAGACCAGCTACGTGGAGTACTACAGGTGAGGGGCCCGCGGGGGCTGCACTGGCTTCCTTCTTCCGAGCCTGCGTCCTGGGCCCTGGCAGGGAGGTGCCCCAAAGGTCTTCGTGAGCCATTAGCTGAAGTGAGAGAACATGAGAGCTCGCGGGGCGAGTGCTGGACCTTAGACCAGCCTCCTGAGACAGGCAGGCGCCGAGGCCCGTGAGGGCGGTGCTAAGCCAGGACCCAGCGTGGACCTCCCGCACACAGCACCCCGCACACAGCATGGGGCTCCAGGGACCAGCATGCTCCCTGGCTGCTGCTGGGTCAAGTGCAAGTGGTTGACAGTTCCTCACCTGCCATGGTGTGTGGGGCAGGGGGCCAGGGACATGGGGGCCTCTTTGCCTGCACGGAGCCCCCTGCTGATGGCAATGTCTTAGCAAGCCCAGAGGTGCCCCCAGCTGGAGTGGTGGGGGCTGGGGGACATCACCCCCCCCCCTTTGCCGTACTCAGGTACATCATCTATTCTTCAGGGACCCGTTTATGTCTCCCTGCCTCCCCATTCCTCAGACCCCATCCCAGGTGAGGACGCTGGCACTGGTCAGCTGAAGGGTCTAGTGAAGGTCACTCTGGGAGAGCCAGGGAGGGTGGCAGCCATCTGTCTGGCTGGGTGTCTCCTGGCTGAAGGTGGCACCCACTCATGAAGTCACTGCACCCAGGCCCCGCACAGAGGAGGCTCGAGGGCAGAACAGATAAATGAACCCTGACCAAGAAGTGTCAGCTCTTTGGACCCCCTCCCCCCGCAAGTCGTTGACTCCTTTTCAAGCCATTTGCAAAGGTCAGAGCCTTTAGCCCAACGTTGCACAATTTACTCTGGCTTTCTGGATTCGTTTCCCCTTTGTGGGAAAGCCCCACCCCAGGCTGAGCGAAGCCAGAGCCCTCCCTGCCCTGGGCTCTCGCCTTCCCGGGGTAGGAGATGGCAGGGCCCTGCTGAGAGGCAACACATGAGGTCTTGGCTCCAGATAGCGAAGCCCTCCCCTTGCCCCCCACCCCCACCCCTCCGCTCTGCAGCTGCCCAGCCCCTGCACTAGATGGGTGATGGTGTGCAACAGCGCCTTTCTCCCAGGTGACGGAAGGAAACTGCCAACTCTGAGGACTGGCTGTGACCCGTGACCCCAAACAGTGACCTCTGATTCGTCCTGGGACGTGAGAGACAGTCATTGCTGAGCCTTCCCAGTCTTTTTGTCACGCGGGGTCAGGCGGGGTAGGGCGCAGGCGTCCATTGTGACCTGCCTCTCTGAGAGGACCTAGCAGGGGACCTCGTGCACTCGAGGGCCTGACATGGGCATTTTGATAATGACAAGGATGAAATAAATCAGAATTTCCGTATCTAATTTAAGGTAATTTTATTAAAAATGGGAGGGGAGGGTGGTGCCAACTGCACAGAAGCTATTTCAATCTAGGTGATTGACAGGGACCCCTAGAACTCCCGTCCCCAACTCCCACCCCTTGTCCGGGTCTGGGCAGCAAAGGTCTCCTCCCAGGTTAGCGCCTGCAGCTCCTGAGCCCTGAGGATGACCTGTCCCTTGTCCTCACCCCTTCCCTCACCCGAGCGGCTCTGGGCGCACTTTGTCTGTTCTGGGCCTAACCGGCCTTAGGGCTGGGGCTCCTCCAGGCACCTCCCCATCTCCGCTTTCCGGGTGGTGTAGAGCCCGGCCATCCAGCTCAGCAGACATTTCTTAGCTCCTATACAGGCCTAAGCACTGGAGGCATGAAAGGCTTCTTGTACCGGAGTGAGCAGAGGAGTGAACGCGCGGAGGCCGGGTGTGGGAGGGGCCCTGGGAGTAAGGGCTGGCAGCTGGCAGCTTCTTGGGGAGCCACAAACCACGTTCTTCGTTGGAAATACAAACCCAGGTCATCCCCCAGCTCCTCTGGGAAATGCACCCGCCTCGCAGAGCTGTTTCCGGGAACCGCGTACGGCATGAGGCGTGGCTGCAGAACGAGGGGTTGAAGCTGGGTCCTGGAGAGTGAGCTAGAAGCAATCCGAACTTGATTTCCTGCTGATGGGGAGGGAAGCCACAAGAAACCTTTTGGTTTGAAACATGAAACCAGGGCTTTGAGAGGGGCCTGGTGGCTGGCCCTGTCTCTCTATCTATCTATATTTTATATATATATATATGGATTTCTGAGAGAAGAAGGGAGAGGGAGAAAGGGATAGAAACATCAATGATGAGAGAAGCATTGATCGGCTGCCTCCTGCATGCCCCACACTGGGGATCGAGCCTGCATCCCGGGCATGTGCCCTGACCGGGAATCGAACCATGACTTCCTGGTTCATGGGCCGATGCTCAACCACTGAGCCACGCCATCCGGACATGGCCTTGTCTCTTGCAGGAAGGCTGGAGAGTAGGGGGATTCCTGGGCCAGGCTCCCCTGCTGCCGGCCTCAGTTTCCCAACCTGTGAATGGGGATCCTGATATCAGATGGTCCCCTGGTTCTTCCAGCTCTGATTCTGTTTCGGAAAAAACGTGCCTTCGGTGGCTCTCCTCCCGGGGGGGGGGGGGGGGGGGGGCCTGCAATCTCCCCAGAGCCCCCACCTCCATTTCTGGGCACCACAGGCACCCGCAGGTCTGCCCCACTCTGCGCAGGGGGTGTTTCAATCCGGCGCTTTGGGGGCCTCCATTCACAATGGCAGAAAGAACCACACTTGGCTGCCAGGCCTCCAGCGAGCTCCCTCCCCGTCAGAACCCTGTTGTCACTGTCTCCCAGCTCCATCCACTTCCTGCCCACACTCCAGACCTCTCACCCTCTCTGTGTATCCGTGGAGCAGGAAGCCAGTGCTGGAGAGGAGGGGTCACTGAATTTATTTGTCTCTGATGTCGAGAAAAAAAATGAGCAGGAGCCCTCCCTTGTGGGCCCTCCTGGGCCCCATCCCCCCGCCCTGGGCAGTGGTCAACAAAGGGTCAGGGGGCCTGGGGCTGCTGGTCAGGCCCCTGGGTGGGGAGTTGTGCCCTGCTCCCCCTGACCATCCTCGCCCCCCTCCCTCCCCAGGTGGCTTTCCTACCTCCTGCTCTTCATCCTGGACTTGGTCATCTGCCTCATCGCCTGCGTGGGACTAGCCAAGCGCTCCAGGTGTCTCCTGGCCTTGTGAGTAGCCCGGCCTGCGGGCCTGGAACAAAGCTCTGGGCAAGCAGGTGGGGTGACGGGGCCACCAGCAGAGAGAGGGGGACCCGGTCAGGCTCGAGGGAGGTGGTGGGAGCAACAGCCTGCAGCCGCCTTCCGCCCCTGCTCAGCGCCCAGCCAAGAGGGGGCAGCAGCCACCACCCCGTTATCTGGACCCCAAGCAAGGGCTGAGCTTTCCTCTCTGTGTCCCCCGTCCTGGGCCTGCCCAGGCATTAGCCTCCCACCGTCTCTAACCAGCACCCCCTCCTAAGCCAGCACCCCCCCAGCTGCCTCCGGCACAGCGACCTATGTCCCAGCGTTGGGTCCTTCTTCTGTCCCGGCAGTCAGCAGGGCCTATGTGAGGGCAGGGACCAAGACTCAGGGGTCAGGGAGGGCAAGTTCATGCCAAGAGGAAGGGCGCTGAGATTGTGGGGTGACAGCCATCATGGGGTCCCCTGCCTGCCAGCCTTCGCCTGGATCCCACCGCTCTGTCTCTCTCCCAGGCTGCTGTGCTGTGGGCTGCTGGCCGTGATCCTCAGCTGGACGTCCTTGGCCGCCGACGCCGCTGCAGCCGTGGTGAGTGGGGGGGGAGGGGGGGAGGGTGGTCTGACCAGGACCGGCTGAGGTGGGTGGTGGGTGGTACCTCTGTGTCCTGCCCAGAGCCCCCAGGGCAGGTCCGCTTCCAGTCTCTGTCCCTAAGCTAGAACCCCAGAATCTCAGAGCTGAAGGGCCTTAGATCTCCCGCACCGGCCCCCCTCACCCTTCAGAGGGGGACCTAGGCCCGGAGAAAGGAAGAGGCTTCCCCAAGATCATGAGGCTTTTAGCCACGATAATAAGACAGCTGAAGCCTGACCTTTGCCCCCACCCGGCCCGGTCCTAGCCACCGGCTTCCTGCTTGTACGGACGTGCGTGGGTGACGAGGTGACGGCTCTCCAGGCTTGAAGAAGTGACCAGGACGGGCGGGGTCTGGCCTCGGCTGGAGGAGCCCTCGGGCTTCAGCGGCGCACCCTGGGGCACGGGGACCTGGCACTGAGCTGGCCTCCGTCCCCTTCCCTCCCACACCGTCTGACACCACGATGCATGTGTATGGATGTGGCGCCTCAGAATGTTAGAAACTAAAACATAAAAACACAGGGTGGGGGAGCTTCCTGTGTAGCTGTTCGGGCTTTGATAGACCTGGCGTCGGAGTTAAGCTGCGTGCGTGAGTCGTTCATTCGTTCATCCGGCCGTTGTCTGCTCTGTGGCAGCCAGTGGTGCCGGGTGCCATGTTTGCTCTTCTCTAAGTGGCAGGAGAAAGACTGGTGGGCAGATATTTGCAACCCCAGGTGAATGGGTGCAGCGGAGGTGCGTGCTGTGTGTGTGGCGGGGGGCCCAGGATTTGCCAGGGGTTTCGGGGAGCCCCGAGCTGATTCCAGGGCCCCAGCTACCTGGAGAGAACAGAGTGGGCTCCTGCTGGAAGCCCTCCACCCAGACTAAGGCCCAGTGGCCTCGGGGGCTGGCCGTGCGCTCACAGGACCCAGAGAACGAACGGCCCGGTGCTGCTTGGCTCAGGCAGCTTTTGGCAGAGCTGGTCCGGAAGGGAGAGGAGGCGGGCAGCTCCTGTTCGGTTTTGTTCCCCCTGAGGGAGAACCGGACAGGCGTGAGCATGTGTCCCAAGGTGGGGGGCCCTTCAGATACAAGGAAGGGCAAGTCGGATGGCGCACGTCAGGCTCAAAGGCATCCTGACGTCATCGGGGGGTGGGAGGGCTGTGCACGGTCAGGGGAGTGGCTGCTGGCCAGGGCAACACGCACCACTGCCCGGCCCACGGCCGCTCCTCGGGACAAGTGTGAGCACGGGGACGCACACATGTGCTGTGCGTTGCCGGGGCCTCCTCCTGCCCCAGGGCGGCCTCTGCCCCTGGGAGCAGCAGCAGCCAGCTCGCCCCTAAAGCTGCCCTATGGGAGGCAGCCTCCTCCTGGCTCCTTCTCCCCCGGCTGCAGCATCCAGGGAACCCAGCGGTGATTTATAATCTCCCAGCCGGTGCCTGGAGTGCAGGGGAGCCGAGAGAAAGGCCATCCCCCTGACTGGTTTAGTCAGGCCCCTGGGTGCCAGGGCCTGTGAATGAGCCTTTGAATGGCTGCAGATCCTGCCGCATTTTAATAGGACGCGGGGAGAGGAGGAGCTGGGAGGCAGGCCGTCCAAGGCTACTGTGGGCTTTTGTGTGGCCTCCCTGCCCCTCCGCTCTGAGGCCTGGCTTTTGTTTTGTTTTGTTTTCAGAGCTGTGGGGCCAGAGAACTGACACTGTGACCCTCTGTCACCCACCCCCTGCCTTTCTGTCCCCCAGAAAGGACCTCCCCAAGGAGGGAAGGGGCATTAGGAGGTTTGGCTGCACAGCACCACTCATTTGAGGGGAGCTCCCCGGGAATCCGGGCACTCCTTCCCCACAGTGGGCCCCTGGGAAGGTCACTGAGGTTCTCCAGGCCTCAGCCTTCTCCTCTGTAAAATGGGGAGAATCATAGCCCTTGCCTTAGAGCAGTGGTTCTCAACCTTCCTAATGCCACGACCCTTTAATACAGTTCCTCATGCTGTGGTGACCCCCAACCATAAAATTATTTTCGATGCTACTTCATAACTGTAATTTTGCTACTGTTATGAATCGTAATGTAAATATCTGATATGCAGGATGTATTTTCATTGTTACAAATTGAACATAATTAAAGCATAGTGATTAATCACAAAAACAATATGTAATTATATATGTGTTTTCCGATGGTCTTAGGCGACCCCTGTGAAAAGGTCATTTGACCCCCAAAGGGGTGGCGACCCACAGTTTGAGAACCACTGCCTTAGAGGATGGTGTGTTGGTGGGATGAGGTGGGTGGTTAATCCATGGAGGGGGGGGGGGCATATGCTCACTAAACAGCAGCTACCACTGTTACCACAGTTACTGTCATGTGAGGGTCCCAGGCTGACTCTTCAGAGTCGGGAGCTGCCTGCAGGCTCCGCCACCAGCTGGGCACTGAGTGGCGTCCCCACCTGCCCCAGCTGTGCTCGGCCCCCTTTCTCTCCCCACCCCATCCCCACTGCATGGACAGTGCACACATGGGCCTGTGTCCTGGTGGACAGGCAAGGGGAGTCCTCCTGGCTGGAGCGGGAGGCGGGAGCGAGGAGGCCACATCCCTGGAGGAGCTTCTGACAGGGCCTCCTGCCCGTCTTTGGATCTCAAACTTCTCGGGGGTGACCCAGACAAAGATGGTGGCCTCGCCCTCTCCCCACCCCCCACTCAGGCTGGCTCCCCTCCTTCTGCCCCTCCAGTGACAGGGTGGGGGTGCCCCTGGGCCTTGGTGGTCAGCAGCCAGGCCATGCTGTGGGTCATCAGTGGCAGAGCCTGGAGCTCATGTCCTCTGACTCCCAGCCCCGTGCTCTTCCCAGCCCCCCCCCCCCCCCGCCCCCAAGTCTTCCTGAGCAGGACCTGCGCCCAGAAGCTCAAAGATGGATTCAGCACCAACATGGTTCTTTAGAGAGTCCAGGGAAGGCTTCGTGGGTTGACACCCCGGAGTGTGTGGGACTTGTTAACAGCAAGACAAACAATGAAAAGATGAGCAAGCGAGGCCCTGGTGCAAATAACCCGACACCATCCTGCAGCCTCCCACGGGCCCAGGCTCACCAACGTCCATCCCAGAGGAGGCATTAGACACATGGGAGGCTTGATGTGCATTAATTCATGAAGTGAATATTATAGGCAAGGCACCTGCTACAGAGCTAGGAAGGGGCGGAGCCAGGACTCAAACTAAGGAGCCTGGCTCCTGGCTGTTCTTGGCCACAGGACTGAGCTGAGGGGTCCAGTGGCCGGGCTGGGGGCACGGGGCTCCTCCCAGGGCCCTAGTGTGGTGACTTTGCCCGCCCCTCCCGTCTCTCCCTGGCTTAGGGCACCAGTGACTTCTGTGCGGCTCCCGACACCTTCATCCTGAACTTCACGGAGACCCAGCTCAGCACAGGTAACAAGCTTGTGGGCCTCCATGGTCAGAGCTGCCTGGGCAGCCGGCCTGTGCCTCTACTTACCTGTTTCAGCCCTGGAGTCCCCAGTCCCTCCCAAACGCCACGCTTCCAGCACCAGCTAGACCTCCGAGTCGTTTTTTTTGTTGTTGTTGTTATTGTTATTTATTTTTATTGACTTCAGAGAGGAAGGGAGGGGGAGGGAGAGGTAGAAACATCAGTGATGAGAGAGAATCATTGATCGGCTGCCTCCTGCACGCCCCCCTCCCGACACTGAGCCCAGGATCCCGTCACGTGCCCTGACAAGGAATCAAACTGTGACCTCCTGGTTCATAGATTGATGCTCAACCACTGAGCAACACCGGCCGAGCTGGGCCATTTCTTAGAACCTGCCTCCATAGGGGGGCTTGGGAGTGGCTCAGCCACTGAGGATGGACGAGGGCCTGGTCCCTTTCCTGCCTGACCTGGTCTTTGCCTTGCAGAGGTGACCCGTTACTACCTGTATTGCAATCAGAGCGTCAGCAGCCCCTTCCAGCAGGTACAGCACCCGCCCAGCCCTCACCCTGCCCACAGTCCCCTGCGTCGGCCTGCCCCCCGCCTGGGCCCCCAGCCCCAGCTTCACTGTGGTCCTCTGAAGGGGACAGTGCTCTTGGTCAGCATCTCCTGGGTCACACATCAGCGTGTATGATGCCCATGACCCATCGTGTGGTTGTCGTGCAGATGCTGTGAGGTGGGTCTGGGTGGGGTCCAAGAGTCTGCATTTCTCACAAGCTCCCAGGCCAGGCCAGCGCTGCTGGTCCGAGGACCACACTTTGGAGTAGCAAAGAAGCAAGAGAACCCTGCAGCTCTCAAGGAGCCTGGGGGTGAGGGGAAGGTTCCTGCAGGCGGGAAGGGCCCGTAGGGCAGGGATGTGAGCGCAGATGCAGCCGGGGGAGGGGGCGCTGCAGAGAATGAAACCTCACAGTGGGGCCGCGGTCTTCTCCTGGTGCAGGCGCTGACCCGTCTTCCAGAGCTCTTGACCCCCATGCCCATGCAGACCCCAGGTTGGCGGAACTGCTGCCGGGGCTGCCGTGCCCCTTCTTTCCCCACGGGCGGAGGGTGAGGGCGGTCTCCCCAGCATCCCACACAGAAGGAGGGGGAGCCCCGGGGCCTGTGGAGAGGGTTCCCTCCCCGTAGTCTGGCTCCTTTGGCTTGAAAGGCCTCTGTGCACCCGCTGCTGTGTGTGGTCTTAGCCACAAGCCCTGCCCCCACCACTCAGTGTCTGCCTCTCTGTCCGTCTGTCTGTCTTCAGGAGGATCTGCTCAGCATCCAGCTCCTGTTGAACTCCTCGGAGTCCAGCCTCCACCAGCTGACGGCCTTGTTGGATTGCCGAGGGCTGCACAAGGTGCTGGGCTGGCCCTGGGGGGCGTGCGGGGGGTGGGACACCCCCACTGGCCACATTCTCCCAGAGCAGCCAGGAGAAGCTTAGAAGAGAGATTGCCCGGGTGTCCTGCAGGCCTGGGGGTTGGGGAGGAGGCTGGACAACGGAAGGTGGAAGAGGTGCCTGGCTTCTTGGTTCTCTCAGCAGCTGAGACAGGGAGACTCAGGAAGGTACCAGGGGCGAGGTGGCCGCACTGGGTCAGGTCACCTCTAGGATACTGGGGACCCTGACCTCGGTGAGGGCGGCTGCTCCCCATTGTCCACACTCCCGGCCACCTGGTCATCCCATCCATCTCCCTGGGTTGCAAGTGGACATCCCAGCCTCATGGCCAGGCTCCTCTCCAGGAATTTGAACTGTCGGACACTAAAGCAGGGAACACACTGGGATTAGGCCAACAGCTTTCACATCCGGGTGGATGGAGAGCAGATAGTCATCGTGCAGTCCAGGCCCGCGGGAGAGGGGCTGCCAGGGACAAGCTCTGCCCCCAGGCCGTGCCCACGCCCTCCAGCTGCGTGTCCCTCTCCGGCAGGACTACCTGGACGCCCCTCGCCGGCGTCTGCTACGATGGCATCGAGGGCTTGCTCTACCTGGGCCTCTTCTCCCTCCTGGCTGCCCTGGCCTTCTCCACCATGATCCGTGCGGGGCCGCCGGCCTGGAAGCGCTTTACCACCAGGTGGGCTGCCTGGAGGGGGCTTCCTGGGGGGCGGGGGGGAGGCTCTGCTCTGACGGAGCCGAGAGCTGACAACCCGGGACGGACAAGAGCGGCGGAGGGCGCAGGCACTCACCCCCTGCAGGCTCCTGGGTTTCTGCAGGAGGAGCCGGGGCAGGAGTGGGTCTGAGGATGGTGACAGCATCAGACCACCACCCGGCATCCCTTGCTGGCCCTCTTCCGCCGCAGGACTCTGTGGTGTGACCTAAATGAGGGGAGTTTTCACTGAGGGGGAGTTTTTCACTGCCGGGGAAGGGGGTCCCCCAGGCACCAGGGAAGCATAGGTGGTAGCACTGTTACCCGGGCACCCTAAGGTCTCATTGAGGAGGTAGAGACGAGATGGTCGGTCAGACAAGAAGGGAGCAGCTTAGGGAGGATCCGTGGCCAGCATGGTGGCCGCCTGGAGGCAGTGGCTGTGGAGTTGGGAACGGGGTTGAGGGACCCTCCGTGGGGGTCAGGGCTGAGGAGCGTGTTTTAGAGGAAAGTCAAGGACGCAGCTGTGGCCAGAGGCAGAGTCCTGGGAGGAAGATGGGGAAGCAGGCCGGGATCCCGCTGCCTTGGAGCCTCCCTCGCCCTCACGGCGGCCGCACCCCATGTCATTCTAGGGACAGAGACTACAACGACATCGATGACGACGACCCCTTCAACCCCCAGGCCCGGCGCATCGCCGCCTACATCCCCTCTCGGGGGCGGCTGCCCAGCTTCTGCAGCTACAGCGGCAGCCTGGACAGCCAGCCCGGCCTGCAGCCGCCGGCCCAGACCGTCTCCAATGCCCCGGTCTCGGAGTACATGTACGGCAGGGCTCCCGGGCCCCCGGGCCGCCTCACCCACGGGGAGCTGGGTCTGCAGGTCCAAAGGGCCAAGGGGTCCCCTCCCTGCAGCCATGGGGTGTGGCAGGAAGGCCCCCAGGAGCAGTCAGTCACATGACCCCTGCATAGCCACGTGTGCGGAGGGAAGAACCCACTGGAGATGCCAGGCCTCCCCGAGCCGGCCGGGTGGGTCTCGGGGCCAAGAATCTGCATTTCTCCAGGCCACGCTGCCCCTGGGCCACCCCGAGCGCTCTTATCTTCCTGCCACACTCCCTCGCTCTACCCATAGTCCGTTTCCACCCCCTCCCTCCCGTAGGCACGCCCATGGGACCCCCTTCCCTGGACCCTCCCCCCTGAGCTCTCCTCTCGGCCCCGCAGGAACCAAGCTATGCTGTTCGGTGGGAACCCCCGCTACGAGAACACGCCGCTCATCGGAAGAGGCTCCCCTCCGCCCACGGTAACCGGGCTCCCGCAGCAGGGGGTGCGGAGGGCTCCGGGCCAGGTGTCTGCCGGGTTAGGGCTTCTCCTGCCCCATCCAGGGAGCTTGGACGGGACCGTCCAGTAGGTAAACTAGGAGCCCTGGGATCCGTGGGGGAGGCCTGGCCCTGAGACCAGGATGCTCACGGGTGCCCAGCCCGGTCCTCAGGAAGTGTGTCCCCTGCAGGGGGCACGGGGACGCTGCTGCAGTAAGTGCCCTGGATACTTAGGGACCTGCAGGGAGGAACTGTGCCCACTGCTCTGCGGGCCTGGAGAGGTCCTGTGGAGAGTGGGTGGCATGAGCCATACCTCAGAGTCGCGGGTCTCGCCCTGGGCGACTGGGCCCCAGCAGGCCCTTGGCCACGTCTGTTGGCATTTCTGGTTGTCACATCTGGGGGTAGTTGCCGCTGGCATCTAGCGGGTAGGGGCCAGGGATGCCGCTCAGCACCCGGCACGGCCCCCACCTCAAAGGAAGATCGGCCCAGTGTCCCTGGTGCTGTGGTTGAATCTGCTCTGACCCACCATCTGACTCTCCCGGCCGGGGCCCCTCCTTGCTGGGTGTCGCCCAGAGCGCCTCCCCCACTGTCCTTTGATAAACAGCACTGGACCCAGGTCCTGTGCCAGGAGACGGGGTGGGAGGAGGCCTGCGTTCAGGCTCAGCTCCTTTTACTTTATGTTTTTAAGTATATTTTTATAGATTTCAGAGAAGGGAGGAGAGGGATAGAAACATCAATGTTGAGAGAGAATCACTGATCTGCTGCCTCCTGCACGCCCCCCACCGGGGATGGACCCCACAACCCAGGCATGTGCCCTGACCAGGAATCGAACCGTGACCTCCTGGTTCATAGGTCGGCGCTCAACCACTGAGCCCCGCCGGCTGGTCCCAGAGTCGGTGCCTTTTAACCCTCGCCCGGCTTCTCTTAACCCGAAGCCCCGTGGGCTCCTTGTCCTCGCCACCAGCTGCTGTGGCCCCGGGACTGTGGATTGACTCTAATATCAATCTGAGCACAGAGAGTTAGGGGAGGTCTGCTGCTGGGGGGAAATGAGCTACTCGAAGCCCCGTGATGCCAGATAAAAAGGGTTTGGGGATCACTTTCTGCTTTGAAAGACCCCGGCCACTTTCCCTGCCATTGGACCGTCAGGGACCGGCCTTATTTGCGGGGCTCGAGGACAGAATCAGCCATCCTCCTAGAACTGAGACCTGCTCAGAGACCCTCATTGCTTTGGCACGGCGACTGCCCTGCCCGGGGGCGACACCCCCGCCCCTGCCTACCATTGCCGGGGGCACGAGGAGACCCAGGAGCCCACAGCATGGAGGCGTGGGCAGGCTCCCCAAGTAACAACCACAGCTGGCTGGCCCGGCTCTCTCCCTCAGAAATTCCCGGCGCCTTTGCGAGGACGGTGTCCGGTTTAGCTGGTGACATGTCTGACCCTGAGCTGCTGTCCCCTCCCCGCCCTCTCCCCCGCAGTACTCTCCCAGCATGCGGCCCACCTACCTGTCGGTCGGGGACGAGCATCTGCGGCACTACAGGAATGAGTTTCCGGCCTAACCCCCAGAGGCGCCTGCCTCCTCCATCCGGCTGGGTTTGCGATTCATTCGCGTGAAAGCTGCGTGTCTTCAATGGAAGCCAAAGGCCTCTGGGAGCCGCCTGCGGGATGGAATGGCAGGACTGGACTGCACCTGGGCCTGGCTGGGACCCTGACCGAAGCCGCAGGCAGACGGAGGGCCCACCACCTGGACCAGCCTCTCCCTCCTCTGGCCTCCTCTCCACATCAGAAATGTCCCTCGGCTGCCCCTACACTGGGAGCCTGGATCCGCTCACTCCTACATCCTGCCCTCACCAGGTGGCGACTGGCAGCGAGGAGGGGCCGGCTCAGGCCTGAGGGTCCCATTGCCAGCGCCGTGCCTCCTGCGAGCGTTTTCCTGCAGGTAAAGGCGGAAGAGCTGATCAGGAGATGCCTTTAGGAAGGCGATGTCCCCAGTGAGACCAGGGACTGTCCGAGTCAGTCTCCGGGGCCTGGTAGGAGTGTGGGGGACAGCCTGCTCCGACCCCCGGCCTTCCCGCAATCCTCGGTCGCCGCACCTCCATTCCAGCTCGATGCTGGGAGTGCGTTCACTGCCGACAGGGACAGTCTCAGGAATTCGCGGACACTCTGAAAGAGACTAACTCTTCTTTTTCCCAGTGTTTTGAATACTTGGATTATCCAAAGAATGGAACCTCAGAGCACAGTTTTACAGTAGATGCGGCTCGCTTCCTTACACCTGGGTCTGGAATCCCGTTCTCTTTCGGGTCTGCTGACACTGCCAGGTCATTAAGAACCTACGGGCAGGGGCGGGATTTTAAACAAAATAAAAATCAGTGAGAACTTCTTGTCTCGTGCGGTGTGATGCATATGGGTTCATCCACTCGGGGAGGAGACAACAGCTGACGAGCCGCCAGGG